GCACTTAGTAGTGCTACTAAAGAAATAAGGCAATGCTTGTTAAAAGGTATAAAGAAGTTCCACTGTTAGACCAAAAATAATAAGAAGAGGAAAAATGGTCAATTTTCCATTCCCTACTTCTAAACCAACTCTTAGTTGCTCTCAGTCTTTTGGTATTTTAAATCTTTACTATAGCAACCATTTTTCAACCATAATTCTTGAGAGATGTGATCTGCTTTTTTCTGTGATTTTTTGTTCTGTCTCTTAAAAAAAAAAAAAAACTATTTTATGAAAAAAGAAAAAGAAAACAGTATTTATTTGGAAAGCGTGATACATTTTTTTCAGGAACAGAAAGTTCAAAAGAACAATATTTATATGAAACGGAAATAAATATACATAAATATCGGCACTGTGATTTTTGATCAATTTAATGCATTCTTGTTGAATAAAAGTATAATTTCTAAAAAAATTATAATAATAATAAAAAAATCATACTGACCCAAAACTTCTGATTAGAGTGTATATATAATTATTATTTATTTTTGTTTAATAAATCTAAATAAATGTAAATTCAGATTTCGTCTGAAAACAGTGGCTACTTTTGAATGGCCATCCAATGCAAAAAGATTAAATGAAAAAAGCATGATCAAAATATGAGCAAAAAGATTTTTGGAACCAGATGGTCTAGCTATGGCATCTACCTGCAGGGGTTAACATGGGCATGCTAACATGCCAAATCAAAAACTGGTTTCATTACATGCAAAATGACAGTCAGTTCTAAATATCAGCTTTGACAACACAATCTTATTTTTGTGTGCACAAAGCATTAGATCAGCCATTGACTTATTAAAACAAACTACTGACAAAGTAGCTTAGGGGTGAGATGTCCTACTTCTGCATTCATCTAGGCAAGTAAAAGAGAATATGGGAGATGGGCAGTTTTCGAGATGCTGTATCATGCCAGCTGCTGCAGGCGCTTACGTTTGCAGGAGGGCTGAGTACCGGACCATGTGCCATTGGGGAAGCACATCCTCTCTGCAGAGCCAAAAAGCTTGTATCCCACCGAGCAGCTGAAGTGCACTTTACTGCGTATCCGAAAGTCACTCTCTTCTCTGCTGCCATGGGATGGTGTGCCTGGGTCACCGCATGTCCCTGATGAATCACCTTGAAAGACAGAGTGAGGAATAAAAAAGACAATAGAGATTGAAAAGAGGTGAGGGACATTCCAACTATATCGTAAATTTTCATGTCCCCATTGTACATGGCTTAATATATTGAATAAAATATTAAACTCATCATTTTATAAATGGTGTAGGATATCAGACCGAATCAGACAATCTAAGATTTGAGTCACAAAAATTCCACAGAGGCCCCTGACAACAGGATGTCA